TGCTTCAAAGTAAGACAAACTCGCAGCCAAATGGCAGATCCACAATCACAACAATCCCTGCAGAATAATAACAAAATCAAGGGCCATTGAAACTAATTCGCTCACTAACACCCCCGCTCCCAAGAAAACATCATCAACGACAAGGCCACAAAACAAATCAACCAACCATCTTGTGATATATATATATATATATTTATATGGGGATCGATCCGAAAAAACAAAAAAACATTTAACTTTATACCTCGCCATCGCCATCGCCCTCGTTTCGGCCAAGTCCGAGTCTAGGTCCAAGTGGTCCATACTCAATTCTAAACACTTAACCGATACTCTTTCTCCTTCTACTCATGCGGTGTGCATATAACGTGGTAAAGTCCATACGAAGCTACTATTATACCCTACTACAAAATACCTAACCCTAGTCCCTAAGCAGCTAATCAGCCAGTACTTAACTCTTTTGATAAGACTCTTAGACTCGTAAGTGCATCCGAACCGATCCGTCTTTGAAGGCAGCTTTAACCCGCATGTGCTATGAGAGATCTCTAACCGCATGACCCGATAAGTATTATGTGCCTGAAGAGTGACTATTGAATGAATGGCAATTGCTGCAATGCTCTACTGACTGTACCGCCTCCATCCAATTGTAATTTCTGTAGATCAAAAAACAACCGACTGTCGCCGCGGAACAGGAACTGCAGGAGGAGTCCAAAGCCATAGAGCCCACGGAAACGGAAAACGTAAACATTGAAGAAGTCTAAGCCCCAGCAGCAGTCGATTCTACTCTTTCGCTTTTGTGTGTTGTGTTTAAATTCGTTTGCTAGTGTTCAATTATTAAGCAATGTTCAAAGTGTCTGTAGGTTAAGTATGAAATGGCAATGAAAAATACATTTGTTAGTCGAAAAGAGAGAGATAGAGAGATTTGAGATGATTTTGGGGGAGCTATGAGAGCTTTTGGGGATAAGAAATTATAACAATTCCATCACTCATGGATACAAATATCTAAAGCACAGATCAGCAGGATTATCCATATAAAAGACTCAAAGAGCCATGAAACGTGGGAGCCGAAAACTATGAATAGTTACTTCCTTGTTTTGTTGGAACCTCTCTTGAACGAGTGTTAATCCTGTGCTTAAATTTTATTCAGAATACTAACTTCGATTGAATATATGAAAATAATTTAGCAAAACTTTCATTATCTTACATTATAAACATAGCGCGCGTCATGGTATCCCGCATCCGCATCTATCGCTCTAATTAAGCAGCAGTTGTGCCACAATGCTGTTGTCGTCGGATGGATTCGATGAGTGCAGGCCGGAGCCGCTTTCGAGAAACTCGCGCAGCTCGTTCTCCAGATCGCCAGCGACAACCGCCACTGGGCTCATCCTGCTCGTCAATGTCCATAGGCACTGGCGGCAGCTGGGGCAGGGCCACAGGCTGCTGGAGAAGTTCCGGCAGTTGGACGCGCGGTGAGGCGGGCGGTGGTGGCGGCAAACCAGCTACGGGAACAGAAATTTTATAATTAAAAGGGGGAAACTAAAGAAAAGGAAAATCGGTCTTATGATTACTCACCATAAGACATTCCATGGCCTTTCGCAGAGCAAAGGGATCTGCTATGGCGGAGGGCGGCAGCTTCTTGGCCAAGTCGCTGATCTGCTGCGTCAGTTGCTGCGCGGTTTGGGCCTCCTCCTGACCCGCTGGCTGCACTAGACCCAGGTGGCTGGGCAGCGGTTGGGAGAGGCGTTCGTTGCTGGGTTACCCGCAGCTTCTCGATTAGAGTGAGATTATTGCTTAGATGCTCGTGCATACGGCGGTTGAGCTCAAAAGTCTTCATTTCCGTCTCCATGCTGTCCAGGAAGCTCACATCGATGCCCAGTTCCTTGAGGGATTGCAGCGCTTGAAGTCCACGCGAGTGTTCTTGTACTTCTCGTACTCTTGCTCAATTTGCTCTTGGGTTTCCTGTGGCTGGGCCTGCGCAGTGGATGACTCCTCGGTGTCGAAGCATTTCTCGATTTCCTGATGCTCGTACGAGTGCAGCTGCATGTTGTAGAGCTCGTCTAGGGACTTGCTGTGCTCCCCGTTGGTGAGAATGTCCAGCAGGCCGTTGGCTATGTTGGTGCCAAAGCTAGAGTCCTTGGTGAACTGAAGAATGCTCTCGGCGTACTCCGCGCTGGAGGCATCGCCGTAAGTACGCAGCACGAGCTTCGTCTCCTCGGCACTCAGCGTGGAGAATCGGGAGTCGAAGGTGGGCGCGAAGCTGGCATAGGCTCCGTAGCTCAGCGGCTTCACGGGCTTCACCACATTGCGGCTATCGACCTGACGCACTTGCAGCTGAGTGCTGCCGGTCTGGAGTTTACCCACCAGATCGCCAATGGTTACGACCCGCTCGGGGCCCTCGGTTTCCTCTTTTATGAGCAGATCAAGGTGGTGCTGCCATCGCGGCCTTGACGCAGGAAACCCATTTTGTGGGCATTCTTCTTGGCGTTCACACGCTGTTTGGCCTGTTGGGCGGGCGTTCTGTACCTGGGCTAGGATCTCCTCGCCAGTCAGGTCATCTACATACGGCTCGAAATGGTTTTTTGGGTGCATTCTCCAGGCGCAAGGCTCTCTTGCGTCCTCCTCCTCCAGTTGAGCTGGTGTGGGTGGCTCTTCTGCCCCCGTTGAGGCTCCTTCATCCGCCGAATCATGCAGATCGTAGCCCATCTCATTTGAGCTCAACTCAAAGCCCAGCTCCTTGGCCGTCAGCTCTCGCATGAAACCAGAGAGGGGCTTGAGACTCCTCATCATATTCTCCGGCTGCAAATGCTTCATTCCGACCTGGAGCAGCTTCTTGGCCGCCTTGTTGTAGACCGTGTCCACGTGGTTGTATTTAATGGCGTGTCGCACATCAGCTTGAAGTCATCGCTGAATTCGGTCAATGTGGAGTACTCGTGGCCATCGATCTTTTGGCGCATGGTGGAGAAGTCCATGGGCTTGCTGATGATCGACGAGTAATTGGGGGCAATGTCGTCTGTGACGGGCCAGGCGAAGAACTGGTGCGGATCCCGCTTCTCCAGGAAGCGCAGCAGATGCTCAAGCAGCTTGTTGAGCGGCGATTTCTGCTGCTTCAGCTTGAGGACGCAGGTTCGTGGCTCTCGGCCGGACTCACTGCTGCTGCTTGGAGTTCTCCGGCGCCTCCAGAGCTTTAGGTGTTAAAGTATTCTGGGAGCTGGCGCCGCCTGGTGTGGAAGGTGATGGGATATGGAGCTACAAAAGGAAACTCAGTTGACCCACAAAAATTAATTTCATATTCGAGACACTCACGTCTGGTAGTGGCTTGGTGGGACTGCTGCCTGCCAGGCCCAGCGATGACGATGGCAGTGATGATGATGCGGGCGAGGAAGCCATTAGTATCTCATCCAGTTTTGCGCGGGGCAATCGGCTTGCTCACCGGGCAATTGGACGGAGAGTTGTCGGTGGTGATGCCGGCGTAAAAAGTATATTCTCTGGAAGCGGCTGCGACTGATCGTCCGTCCATGAAGCTGAAGCCGTCTGGCTCGAGTCGGCATCAATTGGTGGCGGTATAACCGCCTGTTGCGAGCCAAATCCACTGCAGGCCGCATCATCGTTGAGCGCTGCAGTTCTTCATCCACCGAGTCCACATCTCGATGTTTGTCGCGGCTCTTGTGGCGCTTCTCCTTGTGGTGCTTGTGCTTCTTCTCACGGTCCTTCTTCTTTTTCTTTTTCTTGGACTTTTTGTGGCGCTCACGGTGACCACCCGTTTCCTGCAATTCATCAGGCACCGGAGACATCATGGCCTCGGCCGCCGTGGGGGGTCCATCTACCGCGCTGGACGTCATGTGGGAGTTGGAGCTGTACTCAGGAGTGGCCACTTTCAGGATGAGCTTCAGTCCCCGCTGCAGATGGGCCGGATTCTGGTGCTGGCTATATTCTGCACGAACGAACGCAAGCGGCAAAAATGTGTCAGTGGTGTCTCCTCGTCGGGGCGGCTGCGCCATCCACTTACCTTCATATTTATCCCGGCGCTCTGATTTGTTCTTTTTGTGCTTCTTGGAGGAGCCCATGGTCCTGGTGAATGTGCCACCAGTTAGGAAAACAAGTGATAAATTAATTTAATATAAACGAAAAAAAAAGCCAGCGAAAAGACGCGTGTGTCAGTGTGACCAGATCGATAAATATACCGTCCGACTCTCAGAAATATACCAAAATATACAGTGTCGTTACGAAAATATACCGGAAATATACTGACGAATTAAGTTCTATTATACATATTCCTCGTTTTTGATATTCCGTCGAATATTAAATCCTTTTGATGAATCAATTTTCTACAGGATTTACTTCTTTCACTACTCCCCATTTATTGTACTTTGTCTAAAACAAGGTTTAAACAAAAAAGTTCAACAAAAAGGTACATTTTTGTACATGTAATTACATAGTTGGTACATATTAACTACATATTTATGACATGTGGGCATTTGTGTACTTTACAGCACTTAAGCGATGTATCGATATGCGGTCGATTTAGAATGCCGCCCTCTCGTCAGCCCTTTGTTATTTCAAACACGTACTTAATTTTATGTTTGATTGCTAATCTGTGCTAATTTTATTTAATAGATTCAGAGCCGTGATTTGGTTTAAAGTAAAGTTTGTTTTTGAGACTCCCAGCTAATATTAGAGAATAGCATAAGTCCTAGAAATTTTTCCCTGACCCGCGGCGTTTTGATGGCGAGCGATCTGACATGCGACGCTATGAACGATGCCACTCGATCGGCTACTGGGAGAAGCAGCATTCATCAGTCGACGGCCCGTGAAGCAATCCTGAAAGGGGTCGGCGACCCGGAGAGCAGCATCTGAACGGTCCGCCACGCCGAGGCCAAAGAGGACCACCGTAAGGCCTGAGTTCTTCTTAGCTTCGCTATGGGTGCCTGTGAGTGCGAGTAGCTGTGAGGCCCTGGAGCGACGTATCCAACTTGTGTCGGATCTTTTCCAGATCGTGACGCATCCGCTTATGTCCAGAGGCTATGGTCTGCCTGTCGCGCTTGCAGTCTCTTGTGCTGCAACAGCATTTGCTCCAGCATTACCTTCTGCTGCAACACCTCTCGAATGCGACGCTGATTGTGGAAACTCTTGGCCACCATATCGTTCATCCGCGCCGCATCATTACCATTACCTTCTGGTCCAGTCGGCCTTCATGGCCGAAAGGGGAAGGGTTTTTCGAATTGCCAGTCGGCACACAACACACCCGTGGTACTGCCCCGGTTTGAGGAACTGCCGCCTCCTTTGAAGCGCGAGGACCTGCTGCGCGTCACAGACCTGCCGCGCGAGGCGGATCTACTGCGGAGGGACCTGCTGCGTACTGACTTGCTGCGCTTCCGAAAAGTTTTCTGTGGTGGTGCATTCGGAATCACAGCTATGGGCGCTGGTATCGTGGGAATTGCTCTCCGCGGCGGTTGAGTAGCTGTGGCCATAGCGTGCTCGATTTACGATGATTCGCACTTAATTTCCACTCAAGACTTACCCTTCATGGTGGAGTGTATGGTCGACACCATTTTATCAAAGGTCTTGATCACATCCGGCTTCTCGGAAAAATAGGTATCATTGGGAATCTGTTCCTTCGGTTTGATCTTCATGGCGGTCTTATCTCTTTTGTTGCCCAGCTTAAAAATCCCCCCACCCTGCACACGGGGTTCGTTCTGCAGCTGATTCTGCAATATATGAGGCAAATTCAGTCGCTGTGTCATCGTGCCGCAAGCTTATACTCTTCTTGATATTTGCTAAGGATCAAAAATAATTTAGGTTGCGAATTTTGATGCCAAATGATGCTAAAAGTTTGAAAAAATTAGAATTTTAGACGAAATTGATCTCTCATTTTAGAATTTAGAAATTGAATGCACAAATTTTGTTAACACATATCTCCAGCACTCTATTTTGAATTCGAATTTAAATTGGAAATAAATCGCCCCCCGAGGCGTGCTTTGCAGCACTGTTGATTGCGATTACCATTCCGATACTATTCCCATCGATTGTTTGATTGTTTTGTTTGCGCTTTTTCTCACATTTTCGTATTTATTTAATTTGTGCTATATTTATGCTAAATCGTACTAAAGATCGGTGTTATAGATGGCTACTGATGTTCTTGCGGGCCAGCTGGGCATAGATGGTGCCATGCGGCTTGTCCACCGGGATGAAAACCTCATTATTGTCCCCAGGTACAATCTTCTGGAAAGGCTTCGTATCGAAGTTGAAATAATGCTTGTTCGGCATGGTCATGGAGATGACCGACACCTGCGGAATCACAGAAAACCTGCTTCTCGCTCAGGTACAGGGTGTGCTGGACGGAGGGCGAGGAGACGCCCACCTGTGGATCGCCGGCAAAGTTCCTCAAGATGATATTCTTCACCGTTTGCCAGGCACGCGAAAAGTTGACCGTCTCTGTGTCCGAGTACTCCCAGGAGCAGTCCACTACAGTGCTGAAGATGCGATCATATTGGTCCGGCAGCGAGCGAAACTCATCGTTGACAAAGTTGACGAACGAGGATTGAGTGGTCTTCAGGACGCGAAGGCCCTTGATGCCAGTGATGACAGTTTGCTTGGGATCTACAAGTCACAAGTGGAAGTGGAGTTAAGTAATACTCGATTTGTATTGTCCTGGCACCCACCTGTCCTACGGATTACCACATCGCAGTAGTGCAACGCCGTGGGCGTAAAGATGAAGGCGTGGTTGTGCAGCGAGCGATTGTCAATGGAAGTGAAGTTGTTGCAGCTGCCCTGACCCTGATTATTGACAGACTTTGTCTCATCCTGGCAGACACGCTGCCAGGGATAGGTCTCCACATGGACGTGGGCCTCCTCCACATGCGAGTACTTGTTGAGGAAGTGCTGCCCCAGCATCAGAGCAAACTTCTCGGGACTCTCGATGCCATACTTCTTGGCCAGCAGGTAGACGGTGTTCTTCTGCGAGTCGGTGGCCACGATGTCCGAGTTGTTGCCCTGGTAGTAGTCCTTCTTGCTGTACAGCTTCAGGTGAGTGCCCACCTCGAACTCCTGGATGGTGTGCACGGGTCCCTTCCTGCTTACGTGCAGCACCTTTACAGCATCCTTGCCGTAGCCGTGATCGGTGATCTCGTACTGAAACGGCGTCTCCTGGCCATCCATTGAGACTGCTGGCCTAGCACCGCTGGCATTGGTGGGCTGTCTTAGGGGCGTGGCAAACATTCTAACTGCAATTCTGTTCGGATAATGACTGACTGATGCCTAATCGCCTCCAGGCCGATCTTTTTATACAAGCGCAATCTTGATCACAGTCACGTAGTGCAAGTGTACCACGGGATTTGATGCGCAAAATTTAGTAGAAAGTGGAGCGGACCGTGTGCGCCGTTTATCTTTTCCCCCAACTTAAGTTCTTAGAGGCTTACGAGTGCTCATTCTACGTACATTTCTACAGAAGCCCATTTAACGCCTTGCTGCATGCAAATATGACTAATCCCCGAATGATTGTCAAGGTCTGGAGCCCTGTTGTCAAGCTTTCTATCTCCAGACCATGTAATGACCATGCTTACTTTCTTTGGGTATAATATTTGAACACTATTTTGCAAGTGATAAGGTGTACATATAGAAATGTTATTACAAAGTCTGAGAAGTTGTAAGATTTTACTGCTTCTCTTAATTCACAATCTCCACCGGCTCTCTTTCTTGGTAACATTTTTAGTTGAATATTGTAAATACTTTATAGATCCTAAGTGATCAGTAGGGTAATAGGGCACTATATCTTACAATATCTTAGGAATGGATATAGAATTTTAGCAATCTCCTCAAAGAAAAAATTCATAGAGTTTTGGACCTTGGACCTGGAAAATAATGACTGTTACGCCTTTGAAAGAAAAATTGAACACCTTTCATCAGAGC